CATCGACCAGGCGATTTTGGACGCGAACGAGAAGGAGCGCGTGAACCGGATGCTGCAGCGGCCGCCGGGCGCGGGCCGCGCGACGCGCGCGGACGACGTGAGCTCCGACGAGAGCGACGAGGACGTGGCCTTCGATCCCCTGGTGGTCGTGCGCCAGTCGGCGGAGGGGCGCATGCTGGGCAAGTGGCTCGACGCGGCGCGGAAGCGATTGAAGGGTACGTTCCCGCGGCCCGAGGCGCGCGGCGAGATGGAGAAGTACGCGGAGAAGATGCGCCAGCGCAAGCTCAAGGGCGGCAAGAAGGCCATCGCCGGCGAGGTCACGGACGAGAAGACGCCCCAGTCGCTCATCGAGCAGCGCGTCGTCCGCCTGAACGCGGCGTCGACGGCGCTCGCGCAGCGGTGGCTCCGCGCGGCGCAGGACTCCATCGCGAACCGCTTCCACGAGAAGGGCAAGAAGCTGCGGAGCGACTGCGAGACCGTGCTCCAGCACATGCCCGAGGAGGACGAGTGGTTCTACGGCGCGGACCTGCGCTTCGCGGGCAAGTCCGTCATCACCAAGGGCGAGGGCCTCCGCAGCGACCAGCTCACGCTCGAGGCCGAGGCCGCCGTGCGCATCCGCCGCATCGAGGCCGACTTCGGCGCCTTCGAGCGCGAGAAGCAGGCGCAGATCGACGACGAGCGCGACAAGTTCGAGCAGAGCCTGGCCGCGGTGGCGGACAAGGCGAACCTGGAGCTGGAGATGCGCACGCGGGAGCTGGAGCGGACGAAGGAGCAGCGGCGCGCGGAGTGCGACGAGGAGGAGCGGCGCGCGCGCGAGGAGGAGGGCGCGGCGTCGGGCGATCTGCTCGAGCGGCACCGGCAGATCATGGACGCGATCGAGGAGGAGATCCGCCTCGAGCAGTCCAACAGCGAGAAGAAGCGCAAGGTCTACGAGATGGAGCAGCGCGGCTTCTTCGACCGCCACGAGGACCTCCAGAAGCAGGTCATCGCCGACCGCCGCATCTCCGCCGTGTCGAACATCCGCACGATCCGCAAGGAGACGCAGAACCGCATCCGCAACGACGAGCAGCTCTGGCAGAACGAGGCCGCGCGCTGGCTCGGCACGGCGAAGCGCAAGGTCGAGCTGAAGAAGCGCGAGGACGCCGAGGCCGCCGCGGCGAAGCGGCGGCGAAACCGGTAGAGCGCGGCGCCCGCCTGGCCCCGTCAGAGCACGCGCGGGGCCGGGAGGTAACGTGCCTACTATGTGTATGTGCGCGAGCTGCAAGTCGGCTACTTCGAGGCGGGCTGGCGTCGTCGGAGCTACGCGTCCGTGCCGGCGCGTCCAAAACTTCAAGGACGAGACGGTGCAGCCCTGTTTAGCGCGGCGTCGAACATCTCCGAGAGCACCGCGCCGGCGCCGGCAGCCCCGTCGACGCGCGCGGCGGTCCACCGATCACCCGCCGCCTCGACGAGAGCACCGCGCCGGCGCCGGCAGCCCCGTCGACGCGCGCGGCGGTTCACTGATCACCCACCACTTTTTGCGCCGAGCCGCTCGCGATGGCGGCGACGGACGGCGCCGTCGAGCGCGCCCTGGCCGGGCTGCCCACGCACTGCCGCGAGTCCGGCATCACCCAGAAGCACGCCGGCAAGGACTTCATGAAGGACCTGGCCGTCTTCCTGAACCTCGCGACGCCCAAGCACAAGCACGACGAGTGCCGCTCGCGCCTGCTCAAGGCCCGGGGGCCCGGCGCGCGGACCTACGACCGGCGCGACGTCGCGAGCGACATCGCCGTGATCTCGGAGTTGCACAAGGGCCTCGACGAGGCGCCCGACGCGGGGGTTATGGAATCTCGGCGCTACCTCTACCACCACGCGCGGACCTGGGTCTCGGAGCAGAAGGAGAACGGCAAGGACGTCGAGGGCATGCGCGACCGCCGGCTCCGCTGCGGCCGCTGCCGCTACAACCTCCCCTGCTACCAGCCCGGCCACGAGGACCTGGGGGGCCAGCCGCCCCAGGGGGAGGCGGAGCTGTCGTTTAGGTGACGGTGTGGGGTGTGCGTGTCGGGTTTAATGTCGGGTCGTCCGGAGGCGTCGTTGAACGCCAACTTACTGGTCGCTTCTAAAAGTCGCCTCCGACGCGGCTAATTACGCCTGGCGGCGGGAAAGGAGAAAAAAACCGACCGCCGCAGGCGGGAGGAAATTTTTAAAGGGGAAAAGGGTGGTTTTGTAGGCCTCTATTGGCCCTTGTGCCCGGAGTGAGGCCGTCGAGGGGGCTGCCGGGCGTCCGGCCGGTCACCGGCGCGAAGCGCCGGCTCAGGCTGTGGCTGAAGGAGGCACCGCGGCGTGCCGCGGCTGCTGCGGCTGCGCTGGCGGGCCGGGAGGAATCGGCGACAGTGGCGCAACGAGACTCCGAGGGTCACTAGAAGGCGTTACTAGGGTCGCGCCGCGCCAGGGCGGGCAGCGAGGGAGGTCGAGGGGCGCCGGCCGCGGCGGGGTCTGGCGCGCGCCGCGCGCTTGGCTCGGCGCGCGCGGCGTGACGAATGCGTCTTCACGCAAAACACTTCGGCAGCGACTTCTCACAGGACGTGGCCCACGACACGCTACGTGAGCGACTCTTCTCGAGGCGAGGGTCGCGCAGGTCGAGGGGCGCCGGTCGCGGCGGGGTCTGGCGCGCGCCGCGCGCGGCTGGCTCACGCGCGCCGCGCGCGCGCGATTGCTCCCTCGCCATCGCGCGAGTCCACGCACGGACCATCGCGGACCACGCGATGGCGGTGATCGCTCCGCGGCGTCACCCGCATACAACGCAGCCTTGGCGCGGCGCTGCCCGTCGCGCCAAGAACGTGTCGGCGCTCGGCGAGTGCGCGGTTCGCCGCGCCGCAGCGCCATCACGCACCGAGGCTCTCGGCGAAGCAACCGAGTACTCCGTGCTCGCCCAAGCATGCGACTCGCCGGCGGAGACGCAGGGGCTATCCCGATGACCGCGCAAGCTCCGAGGCAGCCCGTAGCAGCCCCGCAGACGCTTGCGGCAGCCCGCCAGCGGCTGGTTGCGCGGCGCGGCGACGCCCCGCGCCCTCACAGCCGCACCTGACCCACAGATCGCCGAGGAACCGACGCAATGCGCTGTGTTTCGGCTCTTGACGCGGCCATGGCCGCTCCGAGGAGCTGGACTTAGGGGCCGCCAGCCTTGCACAACGATATCCTTGCACGGATATACCCTTTTTGGCTGGCTCACGGACGACGCCAAAGAGGTATATCCAGGCGTCCAGCCTTTGGAGGCCATTCCTTCGGTGTATATCCTTGAACAGCTATATCTGCCGCCACTGCTAGCTTCCCTCCGACGCGGAGGCGAGCTGAGCGGCACTCGGCGTCGACGCGCGCGCCTGGCCGTGACCGCCGCTGCGACCGCCCGTTGCCGCAGCGCGCCGTTGACGACCTGCGCCGCGGCACCCAGCCCCGCCCGTTGCCGCAGCGCGGCGTGGACGACCTGCGCGGCACCGAGAAGCGCGGCGTGGACGACCTGCGTGCCGCAGCGCGGCGTCGACGACCTGCGCGGCACCGAGTAGCGCAGCGTGCACGACCAGCACTCCGGCACCCGGCCGCGCGCACGATGGCGCCGTCGATGGAGGCCCTGCCTGCTGAAAGCCTGGCGGAAGTGGCTCTATGCCTCGTCTCTTGGAAAACTCGTGCCGACATCTTCCCTCTTCGCTGCGCGTCCACATTCTGCCGGGATGCGGTGCGGCGCGGCATCGCGTCCTTCCGTTCTTACGAGGGAGACATCACGTCGGTGTACCTCGGCAAAAATTGGCGAGGCGACGCTCGACCCGTCGAGGCGAGAGGGCGCATTTTCGGCCACGCTTGTCGACGCCTGGTATGGACTGGTCGGAAGGTTGAAGACGCAGATGATGCCCCTGGTGCCACTGAAGAAGGAAAGAAGATAGCGTTTAATGCGTTACGTTCGTTCGTTTCCGACACGAATGGCGGGTTGAATTTCATTTCCCTGCGCAAAAGCCTCATTTCTGTCGACGAGCTTCTTCAGATTTGCGCGAAGAGTCCGCGGCTCACACATTTGCGGGTGGGAGATGGTCCGCTCCTGAAGAAATTCTCGTACGAGGCCATCGACAAATTCGCGGCGGCAGTGAGCCAAGCGTGCCCGTCGCTCCAAGTCGTGCACTTCGCAAGCCTGCATGAATTCAAACCTGAGGCCAGTCCGGCCGAGATTTACGCGATGCACTTTCCAAATTTGAAGCATCTGTCGATCGGATGCGCGCATGGAGATCCCCTCGTCCCGACCAACTACGACAGAATCGTAGCATCTGCCGAGCAGTGCCGCGCCACTGGATGCAGCCTCTGGGGGCGCCACGTTTCACACGGTCTCATAGCCACGCTGTTGGGGACCTCCATGGCTTCTCGTTTACTGAAGCTCAATTTGGATTATGTGCGCGTGACGGCGGAGACGGTACTCGCGGCCGCGGCTGGCTTTACGTGCCTGCGCGAGCTCTCGATGCTCACGAGTTCTAGTATGTCCGACGAAGTTATGCAACGAAAAGCGCCCGCGTTCTTCGAGTCACTTTCGCGCGCGAGACCGGAATTGGAGACGCTATACGTCGACCTGCGCTGGCAGAACAGGCACACGAACAATCTGTGCCTCCGATGGATCTCAAAGCTCAGCTTAGTTGACCTCACTCTCGTCGAAGATGTTCAGGTGAAATTCACTTCGGCTGGTATCGACGCGATTCTGTCGGGTCCGTGCTCCCAGACGCTCCTGAGTTTGGACGGTTTCGACGCGACGCTTCCCAGCTCGGAATTGCTGCGTCTTCTCCACGGCTGCCCGAAGCTCAAAATCGTAAGCCTTGATGGCACGAAAGAAGACGGCCAAATCATGGGTGAATGTGGGGATCTCCTTCGTGGTCGAGGCGGCTGCTTAGATTACAACGGCTCCACGAGCTTCGGCTACGATTCGGACGGGGAACCCACGGGAGACTACGGTTCGGACTCGGACTAGCCAGTAACGTATATCTCAGTCACCCCCCCGGCGCGCCGTCCGCGGCGTAGGGGCACGACGTCCGCCGTCGCCGCGCGTCGCCGGCGCCCGGCTCGTAGGGGCACGTCGCGACGGGCGCGTCGACCGTCGCGGCGACGTCGTGGCGCTTGCTGCCGGAGCGGAGGTGGCCGTGCAGCCGCCGCACGGCGCGCATCTGGAGCGCGTGGGCGATGCCGAAGAGGCGGCCGAGCCGCGAGTCGATGGCGACGCCGACGGCCGCGAGCCAGAGGCGGACGAGTTTCACGCGGAGCGACGGCGGCGCCACGGGCAGGTCGAGGGCGTCGGCGAGCGCGTCCCCCACCATGTAGCGGCAGAGCTCCGCCCGCGTGAGGAACGCGTAGCCCGTCGCGTCGCCGCCCGACGGCGCCGCGAGCATCGCCCTGGCGAGCTTCTTCGAGTCCGCGTCGGGCTCCAGAATGTGCACGACGATGGACTCGAGCGTCGCCTTGGCCGCCGCGTAGCTCGCGCAGGGGTTGTGCTCGTCGCGCACGCCGAGCAGGTGGCCGAGGTAGCGCCAGAGGTGCAGGTAGTCGCCCTCCTCCTCCTCGCCGACGCGCGAGCCCTTCAAGAACTCGACGCCGACGAGCACGTTGTAGCTGAACGCGAGCAGCGTGACGACCATGTCCTCCTGGTTCACGGGCACGCCGTAGGCGGCCGCGTCCCAGCCGCGCGCGGCGAGGCGCGCGCGCACGGACGCGTGGAGCGCGCGGACCTCGAGGCAGCACTCGAAGCCGCGGCCGCCCGGGCGCAGCGACTCCGGGCCGTCGAGGCAGACGTCGAAGAGGAACAGGCCCGTGTCGAGCAGCCGCCGCATCACGAGGCGCGGCGACGACGCGAGGTAGCCCGTGGAGAACAGGACCTTCGTGATCACCGCCGCGGAGAAGCCGCCGACGAGCGATAAATAGAAGAGCGTCACGGACACGTGCGGCAGGTACCTCTGGAAGACCTTCTGGCCGCGGCCGACGCGCTCGAGGTCGACCCAGTCCGGCAGCTCGGACGCCGCCGCGAGGCAGGCGCCGCACGCCGTGCCGTCGCCGGGCGACGACCGGAGCACGGCCGCGCCGACCTCCCGGCCGCTGCCCGCGACCTCGGCCGTCGCCGCGTCCATGGGCGCGTCGCCCTCGAGGCGCAGCGGCGCGAGCTGCGACGCCGTCAGGTGCAGCTTCGTCCAGACGAAGCGCTGCCCGTACTTCGCGACGCCGCAGCCGAGCTGGACCTCCGCCGGCGGGTCGCGGAAGGCGTCCCAGCTGTGCCACGAGGCGACGGGCGCATCGATGCGCCGCGACGCGATGTGGTCCATATTGTTTTTGCTATGTTACTGCGACTGCGTGACTGTTTACTTGTGCGTAATCAGCCTACGAACACGCGGGCGCGCCGCCCATGTGGCGCAGAGCTGCCACAGCAAGGACGATGGTGCATGGTGCCGACTTGTTTCCCTGCGAGCGGCTTCCGCCGCGTCACCTCATCAACCGCGCGCTCTCGCACCCGCTCTCAGCGTGCTGGCCCGCCCAAACGTCCTCCGGCTGCTCCTCGTCGCGTGCAGCGCTGCGGCCATGGCGCCGAAGACGACGGCGGTCTGGTTCCGCAAGTGCCTGCGGCTCCACGACAACGCGCCGCTCGTCGAGGCGGCGAAGCGCGGCGGCCGGCTCCTGCCCATCTTCGTGCTGGACCCGCACTTCGCGCGGCCGGAGTTCGTCGGCGCGCCGCGCTACCGCTTCCTGCTCGAGTCGCTCGCGGACCTCGACGCGTCGCTGCGGAAACGCGGCTCGCGGCTCTGCGTCGTGCGAGGCGAGACGGAGGCGACGCTCGACGGCCTCTTCGCCGGCGCCTGCGACGCGCTGCCCGGCGTCAAAGTGGACGCCATCCTCTGGGAGGAGGAGCTCGTCGAGCCCTGGGGCGTCGCGCGCGACGCGCGCGTCGCCGCGGCGGCGAAGGCGCGCGGCGTCGCGGCGTCCGCCGTCGCGGGCGGCCACCTGCTCTTCGACCCGCGCGAGGTCCTCGGGGCCTGCGGCGGCAAGGCGCCGACGACCATGCCGGCCATGGTCAAGGCGGCGGCGGCCCTCGGCGCCGTACCGGCGCCGCTCGATCCGCCCGCGACCCTGCCGCCGCCGCCCGACGGGCTGCCGGATTCGAGCGTGCCGACGCTCGAGGCCATGGGCTACGAGGCGCCGCCCGCGGCGGCCTTCGGCGTGGCCGGCGGCGAGTCCGCGGGCCTCGCGCGCCTCGAGGCCGCGCTCGCGCGCGACGGCGGCAAATGGGCGCGCGCGTTCGAGAAACCGAAGACCAAGTCGACGAAGTTCGACGTCGACCCGTCGACGACGGTGCTGTCGCCCTACCTCAAGTTCGGCTGCGTGAGCGCGCGCCTGTTCCGCGCGAGGCTCGCGGACGTCTACGCGGGCGGTTCCCACGCGCAGCCGCCGACGTCGCTGCTCGGCCAGCTGTATTTTCGGGAGATGGCCTACGCGAACGCGTTGAAGCACGGCGCGGCCTTCGCGGCGTCGCCGTCGCCGGTCTGCGCCGACATCCCCTGGGACGACCCGGCGACGGACGCGGCCGCGGCCGCGCGGCTGCGGGCCTGGGAGGCCGGCGAGACGGGCTACCCGTTCGTCGACGCGGCCATGCGCCAGCTCAGGGAGACGGGCTGGATCCACCACCTCGCGCGCCACGCCGTCGCCTGCTTCCTCACGCGCGGCGACCTCTGGCTGCCCTGGACCGAGGGCGCGCGCGTCTTCGACCGCGACCTGCTCGACGCGGACTGGGCCGTGAACAACTTCAACTGGCTCGGCCTCGCGGGCGTCGCGTCCTGGTCGCCGCCCTTCTTCCGCGTCTACAGCCCCGTGCCCAACCACAAGCAGAGCTCGCTCAACGTCGACGACGCGGCCGGCGCGTACGTCGACCGCTTCGTGCCCGAGCTCCGGAAGCTCCCGGCCAAGTACAAGTACGCGCCCTGGACCGCGCCGGCCGCCGTCCTCGCCGCCGCGGGCGTCGTCCTCGGGGACACGTACCCGCGGCCCCTCGTCGACCACAAGGTCCAGAGCAAGGACAACATCGCGCGCTTCAAGGAGGCCCAGCAGCGCAACAGGGCGAACAAGCCCAAGCCCCCGCCCAAGGGCGCGCCCAAGACGAAGAAGCAGAAGGTCTAAGGCGAGTCTAAGGCGTGCCCTTCTGATGCGAGGAAAGCACGGAGGCTCTGGCGCAGCGCGGGGATGAGAAGGTGCAGCGCGTCCGGATTCTGCGCCGCGGCCTCGAGCACGATCTGAAGGTCGTCACCCAATGGCACCGCATCCAGATGCTGCCTCGGGTCCATGCCGTCCCGCAAGAGAGCGTCCACGGCGCTTGCGAGCGAGATCTGGCGATCGTGCTTCATCCCAATCGGGGTCAGGTCGATCGCGAGGCCGTTCTGGCGCACCGCCGCCAACGCGATGTCGGGATCGTCCTTGAGGGCAGAATGAATGAGCCTCAGGGCTAAACCATTCTGAGTCACCGCCGCCTTGACGATCTGGTAGTCGCGCTTGAGGTCAAACGAGACATGCTCGAGGGCTAGCCCGTTTTGGCTGACAGCCGCCAAGGCGATCTCGGGATCCATCTGGGCATTCATAGTACAAAATTCGAGAGCCATCCCATTTTGGCTACAAGCCGCAACTATGATAGCGCGACCATCCACGCCGTGAACGCGAGGGACATATCTCAGGGCCAGGCCATCCTGAGACACCGCCGCGAGCGCGATCGCCTCGTTACGCCGCAGCTCGGGCGAAGCGTACTGAATCGCAGAGCCGCTTTGGCGTACGGCCGCGATCACAACCGCGGGATTGTCCTGGAGCGGAGGAGGTAGATGCTGTAAGACGCTGCCGTTCTGCGATACGCTCGCGCGCACGATTTCGAGGTTGACCTCGACGTTCTCCATGAAAAGGTTGTAACCCTTCATGAAGTACGCGAATTGCAGCGCATTCCCGTCATTGCGGCAGCTCGCGAGCATGATCTCGTGATCAGACAGCAGCGATTCGTGGACAAACTGGAGCGCGCGGCCGTCTTCGCGAACGACCGAGAGTACGAATTGGCGGTCAGTTCGGAGCGACAAGTCCGAATGGAACATTACGCGACAAGGCGCCTTGTGGCACAGGGCGAGCATCAATGCGCGGTCGGCGAGGAGCGCGCGGGGCGCGTCCCCGAGGATCGCGCCGACCGGATCTCCGGCGCGCGCTTTGACGCCGCGGAGCTTCCAACCGGAGCGCACGAGGTTCGACCACGCCATCCTGTGCGCAAAGTCCGCGCGGCCGCCGGTGCCCGGGGCGCACGGTTTCGCGCCGCCAGAGGTCGTCACGTACGCTTTGCAGATCTTGACCGCATCCGCGACTGGGCCGCCGGTTTTGTTAAAGCTGGGCGACAGGCGCTGAAGGCGCGCGGTCTCAAAGAGCCCAACGTACGACTCGAGGGGGGCGACGCATACATAAAACGCCTTCGAGAACGCACTCTCCGTCCCAGCCACGCTGGCGACGGCCTGCTCCTGGCCGACGCGCGAATCACTCGCGTCCATTGCAGCCCCCAAGGCTAGGTTTCCCATTCAATGAGCGCTGCAACAAAATTTCCAAGCGGGGACAATGGGCAGCCTCCTCGGCTAGTCTGACCATGGCCGAGCCGAAGCGCTGCATCGACGTGGAGCTCTGGCGCGTGGGCGCAGCCGGCCCCGGCGACGGCGCGTCGCCGACGGACGGCGCCTTCCCGCGCTTCTCGGAGACGGGCGAGTCCCTGCGCATCCAGCTCACGGACGAGTCCGACGGCGCCGCGTCCGCGGTGACGACGCCGCCGGCGTCGCCGCGGCGGAGCGACGCGCCGAGCGCGTCGCCGGGCTTCGGCGGCCGCGGCGGCGCGTCGCCCATCGACGTGTCGAAGCTGTGGTGGAGCGTCCTCGCGCGGCTCCTCCGCTTCGACCTCGGCATGGACGGCCTGTCGGAGGCGGCCATCGCCGCGGCCTTTGGGAAGCTCGACGCCGACGGCGACGGCGCGTTGGGCGCGTCCGAGCTCGCGGCGGCCGTGGGCGGCGACGAGGCGCTCGCGGCGCGCGTGCTCGAGGGTGTCGCGCGCCCGGGCGGCGCGACGCTCGACGACGCGCTCGCCGTGCTCGGCCTCGACGCCTTCTCGCCGCACCGCGCGTCCGTGTCCGGGTCGCCGGAGGGCAGGCTGTCGCCCGAAACGAGCCGGGGCGGCGACGGGGTGCCGCCCGCGCCCGCGCTCGACCTCGAGGACACGTTCCGGCCGACGCGGCCCCCGAGCGGCTCCGTCTTCGAGGAGTCGCCCTGGAACGACGTCGAGCTCCTCAAGGTCACGCGCCGGGGCCAGCTCCGCAAGTGCAGATTCGCCCTGGCGCTGCCGCACTCCATGCGGCCCCACACGATCGGCGCGCCGTCGAGATTGCTCACGCGCGTGTTGACGCGCGCGGGGTCGCGGAACATGTCGCGCCAGCGGTCTCGCCAGCGGTCCTCGGAGTCCGTCGACGCCGAGGCGCCGTCGCCGAGCCTGGTGTGGACGCGGCGCGGGCCGAAGACCATCGCGGACCGGGGGCGGGTGTCGCTGGACGCCGTCGCGCGCGTCCAGGCGGGCCTCTTCACCGCGGGCTTCGAGCGCGCGCGGCGGCGCGCGCAGCTCCTGCCGGCGCTGGGCGACGACGTCGGCGACCGCGCCTTCTCGATTATCTTCCAGGGCCGCGCGCGGGCGTCGCGGAACCCCTGCGCGGCGCGCGACGACGCGCTCACGCTGCAGTCCGTGGACCTCATCGCGGACTCGCCCGCGGCCGCGCGCGCGCTCGTCCGGAGCCTGGAGGAGCTGGTCTGGGGCTTCGAGCGCACGCGCCTCGTGTCCGTGCGCGCCCTGGGCCGCCTCGACGAGTGGTCCGGCGAGCGGAAGCCGGCGTCGCCGTTCTTTACCGAGGTGCCGGCGTCGCCGACGGACGTGTCCAAGAGCCTGGCCTCGCGGCCGCCGAGCCGGCGCACGCTGAGTCTGTGGGCGTCGTCGACGGCGTCCGCGCCCCAGAACACGACGTCGCGGGCGACCTTCGCGCGGACGGCCTTCCTCCGGCGGCGGTCGCGGCTCCAGGCGACGCGCGGCTCGTCCGGCGACGGCGACGACGCCGGCGACGGCGGCGACAACGACCGGCCGTCGTCCTGCCTGCCGCGCTGCTGCCCGCGGCCGCCGCCGGAGGCCGCGGCGCCCGCGGCGCTCGGCGACGCGGCCGCGGGCGACGGCGACGACGCGCCGCCGCCGCGGCCGCGGCGCGGGTCGCGCGCCTACGACCACGCGGACGGCGGCCCGCCGCCCGCCGCGCGGCTCTACGGCTGCCTGGCGCGGCTCCCGGGCCGCGACGTCGTCGGCCTCGCGGACCGGGGGCTCGCCGCGCTCCCGCTGCGCGACGTCTTGGACGACGGCGGCGACGGCGGCTTCGACGCGGAGCCGGGCGAGGACCTGGGCATCGAGGTCTTCGTCGTCTTCCTCCACGCCCAGGGCGATGGCCGCCTCGTGGGCACGCGCGCGGCGACGGAGGCCCTGTTAAGGGCCTGCGGCCTCCGGTCGAAGCGGAGCCACCGGCCCGCGCGCGTACCGCTCGCCGTCTTCGAGCGGTTCTTGTGGTCCGGCGCGAACGACTGGCGCGCGTCGGGCACGTCGAGCCCCGTGGGCGTGTCGAGCGACGACATGACGCGGCCCCTTTGCGACTACTTCATCGCGTCGAGCCACAACACGTACCTCGAGGGCGACCAGCTCGCGTCCGAGTCGTCGGTAAAACGCTACATCGACGACCTCTGCGACGGCTGCCGCTGCGTGGAGCTCGACTCCTGGGACGGCGACGACGGCGAGCCCGTCATCTTCCACGGCCACACGCTCACGTCGAAAATTCCGCTCCGGTCCGTCGTCGTCGCGATCAAGAAGTGGGCCTTCTACGCGTCGCCCTATCCCGTCATCCTGTCGCTCGAGAACCACTGCTCCGCGGCGCAGTGCGACGTCATGGCCGCCATCTTCGCCGAGACGCTGGGCGCGGCGCTGCTGCGGCCGGAGGAGCTCGACCAGGCGTCGCCGGCCTACGAGCTCCCGTCGCCGGACGCGCTCCGGGGTCGCGTGCTGTTGAAGGGCAAGCGGCTGCCGCTCGACGCGTTCCGCGCGCCGCCCGTCGCGCCCCAGTGCTCGAGCCTCAGCGACCAGTCGACGTCCGGGTCCCTGGCCAAGGACGACGACGGGCCCGCGGCGCCGGCGCCCGCGGACGACGATGAGGCCGCGGCGGCGGTCGCGGACGACGACGACGACGACGACGCGCGGCGGCCGCGCGCGAGCTCCGCGCGGGGCACGCCGCCGCGGGCGAGCTTCGACTCCCTGCGCGTCTTGCGCCGCGCGTCGAGCGCGCTGTCCGCGAGCGGCCGGCGGCGCACGGACGCGAGCCGCGACGCGCTCCGCCGCGCGGGCGCGCGCGCCGCGCTGCTCGCGAAGACGACGAGCGGCTTCAACTCGAAGCGCGTGCGCGGCTCCGAGGCCCTCAGCCGCGTGACGGCCCTCGCGGGCGTCAAGTTCACGTCGTGGGCCGACGCGGCCGCGCGGCCGTCGACGGCCATGAGCTCCTTCTCCGAGAAGAAGCTCGGGAGGCTCCTCGGTGCCGACGACGACCGCGTCGCCCTCGTCGCGGCGAACCGGCGCCTGTTGAGCCGCTGCTACCCGGACGGCAAGCGCGTCGACAGCTCGAACGCGGACCCGACGGCGCCCTGGGGCGCGGGCGTGCAGCTGGTCGCGCTGAACTACCAGACGCGGGACCTCGCGATGCGCCTGAACAAGGCCAAGTTCCGCGCCAACGGCGGCTGCGGCTACGTGCTCAAGCCCGACGTGCTGCGCGGGGGCGAACCCTTCGACCCGCACCGCGGCGGCGGCCGCGCGGCCGCGGTGACGGTGCTCGTGGCCTCCGGGCGCCGGCGGCTCGGCGCCGCGCCGGCCGCGTCGCCGCCGCCGGCGGCCGCGGCGTCGCGGCGCGGGCGCCAGGGCTCCGGCGCCTGGCCGAAGACGCCGCGGACGCCCGCGGCGCCGCGGTCGCGGCTCCGCGTGAGGGTCCACGGCGCGCGCGTCGACGACGCGGCCGCGGCGCCCCTCGACTTCGACGCGGAGACCGCGCTGCGCCTCGAGTGCCCGGGCCTCGCGTTTCTCGAGATCGGCCTCTGGGACGCGGGCCGAGGCGCCTTCGACGCGTCCGCGCTCGTCCCCGTGCCGGACCTGCGGCCGGGCTGGCGGTCCGTGGACCTCGAGGGCGGCCCCGCGGACCTCGACGCGCTCCTCTGCTTCTTCGCGCTGGGGGAGGCGAGCGGGGGCGAGTAGGGCGTGTATGTGAGTGGTCTGTTTGTGGAGCGGCGGCGGGGTCTCGAGAGGGCATGTCGGTCGACGCCTCGGATTGGAGGCTTGGAGGCGTCCGGAGTCCGACGGAGTCCGGGCGTTTTGCTGTGGCAGATCGAGCGACCGAGCATCAGGCCTGGCGACACGCGCGGCCGTCATCGACGCGCACCCCGTAGCACCGCCGCGACGTGCGCTACCACGAGACCCGCTTATAAAGGATCGCACACGACGGCTGATCACACGATGGACTCAGGGGGCGGCGAGAATCTGATGGAGTGGCAGAAAAAGCAGAAGGAATACGAGATTAAGAAGGCGCGTGCGAAGGCGCTAGGGCTCCGTTTAACGTGCACAATTTGTGGGGCGAAGCCGAGGACCTCGCTGAACTGCCCGTGCGGAAACTCGTCGGCGACCTCTGTGCGGACCTGCCTGATGAGCCGGCGCGCCGGACTAGGCGCGGCGGCGGCGCTTGGCCTTCGTCTGCGCCATCAAGTTCTCGAAGGCGCACACATCGACGCCGCAGCCGCGAAGCTCGACGATGGCCGTCGCCATGGACTCCAACGCGTTGTCGAAGTCGTCGCGCGCCTCGCGTTTCCGCTTGCGCTCGATGGCCTCGCGGGCGCAGGGCTCGTCCTGCGCGGGGACCCAGAGCCCACCCTCCTGCTCGCAGACGTCGCGCGCAAAGCTCACGTCGCCGGCTCGCTTGGCGGCCGCGTCCGCCGCCGCCGCGACGCGCTGGCGCTCGGCGCTGGCGGCCCAGGGCGGCGGCCGCGTCGGCGACTCCATGGCCATCTCGAAGACGACGAGGTCGCCGCCGAGATCGCCGACGCCGACGACGGCTTGAGGATGCCCGGCGGCGCAGCGGACCGGCAGAGCCGCGGCGGCGTCGAGCTTTCCGACCCGACGCAACCTCACGCGGTACGTCTCCAAGGCCGGGCGCGCGGTCTCCCAGAGCTTGAGCGCCCCCGGCTTCGGGACGTCGACGTCCGCCGGGAACGCACCCGGGTCCGCTACCGCGAAGCCGAGCTTCAGCGGCCGCGGCGAGTCGCGCATCAGAGCCAGCGCCTTGTTCAGAACAGCGGTGCTCGTGATCGGCGGCACCGGTTTCGAGGCGATGCTCACAATCTCCATGCCTCGGAACCAGTCCTCCGGGCCCTTGGAGACGAGCAGGCGCTTGCACTTGCGCGAGTCGAAGCCCAGGACCTCGATGTCCAGTTGCTTCTGCCGGAAGACGTGGTCAACCACGCACGACTCGCGCCAGGGCCGCGCGCGGGACTGGCTGATGTGGCCGACGAAGCGGAGCGGGACGCGGATCTCCGACGCCGCCGGCAGGCGCGCGTCGTCCGCGACGCCCGGCGAGATCGCGAGGTCGAAGTAGTTCTTGGGCCGCACGCGCGGGCCCGTCTTCGCGAGCTCCGTGGACGTGACCGGCGCGTCGAGCCACGCCTGGCGGCGGTCGAGGCAGTACCGCAACGCGGCGCGGAGGTCCGTCTGGATCTGGTTGCGCGGCTTAGAGAAGTCGAAGCGCTTCTGCTCCGTCTTCACAGAGTCCACGTCGCTGACCGCGACGAGGTAGCCTCGCACTCGTTTGAGCCACGTGCTCCGACCGAGGAAGTCGAAGAAGACCTCGTCCGGCCGCGCCGACGCGGCCATCAACTTGTGCACCTCGTGGATCTCCTTGAGCGTCTCGGCGAGGTTGCTCAACGACAAGGGCTGGACCTTGCCGTCGACGGCGTCCCGCGCGCCCGCGGGCCCGCCGTCGAAGCCGATGCAGATGGCGCAGGCCGACTGGTTCGCCGCGACGAGCCGCGCTTTGCCGTGGACGACGTCCATCGACTCCCGGGCTTTCTCCGCGTGAAAGGTGCGGGTCTTGAGCTCGAAGTCGACGTCGCCGGAGTTGAGCTCGTAGATGGGGCTCGCCCCGGAGAGGAGGCGCGAGTCGTAGGCGTCGCCGTGCGTGCTGCACTCGTGGCGCTGCTCGGACGGCGCGTAGACGCAGTTCGTGGAGAACGAGAGCGCCGGCCCGATGATCGCGTGCTGCGCGCGCTCGATCTGCTGCGTGCCGTTGTAGGACTCGACGACGAATTCCGTGGGCAGCGTCGAAAGCACGTCGCGCCGCACCGGCCGCGCGACGTTGAAGAGGCCGCCGACGTTCAGCGCCGCCGCGAGGAAGCCCGCGGCGAGCGACCCCGGGCAGTCCTGCTCGCGCCAGGAGGCGCCGTCGCGCACCTCGCCATCCTCGACGGCGAAGACGTGGCCCGCCGCCGCGCCCGCGGGGCTGTAGCGGGTTTCCGATGGCTCGCTGTGCATTTCGCGGTACGAGTCGACGACGTGGTGCACGCCCACGGCGAACTTGCCGCTCTCGATGAGCGGCGCCCACCGCGCCACGAGCCCGTCGCCGACCATGGCGTGGAGGTGGTCCGCGACGCCGCTCGGCGCGTAGAAGTGGTCGCCGACGGACTTCAGCGCGCCCGCGCCGCGCGCGATGCTCGAGTTGTGCGAGACCATGCGCCGCGCGATGGCCTGGCCCGAGCTGATGCGCTTGTCCGAGCTCGAGCCGAAGCCCGGGCCGCCGCTCAGGAACGCGGACTTGACGTGGACCTGCGACCGGTCGAGAATTCTCAGAGGGACACTCATGTTGCAGTTCAACTGGTTGAATCACCAGTTGAAGTGGGGTTGAATCACACGTAGACGCCGCAGTTGGCCGCGACCATGTAGTCGACGACGCGCTCGAGGCCGCGGAACTCGTCCAAGGACGCGCAGCGCACGGCGATGTCGCGGTCGAGCGCGATGAAGAGGTCGACGCGGCTCGAGCCGAAGTCGCTCTGGACGTCGAACAGCTTCTTCTCGACGTCGAACTCCTTGAGCACGTCGATGAACTTGGCGTATTGCGCCGTCGAGAGGAAGGGCGGGACGCGCCGCCAGGCGAGGACCTGCGGGGGGAAGAGGGGTTCGACGGAGCGCGCGCGACGGGTCTACGCTGCGGCCGACGTCGCCGACCGTCGTCGCGCGGAGCTCCTGCTCGCCGACGTCCTGGACCCAGCAGCCGATCTCCGTCTTCGTCATGTTGGTCCCGCAGATCTTGTTCATGAGCAGGCAGAACGCCTCGAAGCGGCCCGACGCCGTCGCCGCCGTGACCGTCGACGCGCAGGCGGCGACCTCGGTCATCTTCTTCTCCTGGACCTCCTTGCGCATGCCGCTGCTCGCGATCTGGTTCTTGATGTCGAGGAAGCGGAGGATGTCCTTGGACTGGTCGATGTCGCTCTTGGCGGTGTACGCCACTTTGAGCGCGAAGGCTCGAGACATGAGCATGCTCATGGAGCAGTAGAACTTGTCGTCGACGACCTTGGACTTGAGCCAGTACTTCTCGTCGACGTACTTGGCGACGACGCTACTGGGGATCAGGGCCTCGTCGCCGGGCAGGCGCTGCGCCACGAGGAACAAGAGCGACTCGATCAGGGCCGCGTCCACGGCGCCCTCGTCGGAAATGTCGATGGGCGGCCGCTGCTTGCGCGCGTCGCGCGCGGCCTTGCCCGGCGAGATGGTGCTGCCCGTCGTCGCGACGACGCCGGGGCCCACGTTCTGCTCGTTGGCGAACACGGCCTTCGTCTTGGCCGTCGCGACGTCCGTGGCGAGCACGCCCGACGAGTCGACTCGCGTCGACCGGCGCTCCGGCGCGACCGGCGCGCGGCCGAGGTGCGCGTCGAGGGCCCGCTTGTAGTCGCATTCTCGAGACCTATACTTGAACTGGCCCATGTCCACGCCGGCCTTGCGGCACTCGTCGATGAGCGGCCCAGTGTAGGGCATGTTGATACCTAGGTGGTGGTGGTTTGAAAGCTCGAAGGGTGGGGACCCCGTCATCCCCCCCCGGCCCCCGACCCCGCGCGTTCACGAGGGGGCGGAAGGCGCGCCACGCGACGCGCAAGACGCGGCGCCGCGCGGCCAAAACGATCCGGTGCTCGCGTCGCGCGTCTCGAACCGCGAGCTAGTCGAGGTGCTCGCCGCTTGCTTGGCCGGCGACTCAGGGGCGAGGCGCCTGGCAGGTGGAGCGACCGGGCAGCGACCCGAGGTAGCCATGGCTGCCCACGGACGCACCCGACCCACGCGGGGCACCGAGCTGCTGTGGGTCGACGAGTCCATCGCGGCGTTGGCCGAGACGAGCTGCTACGATGCGCGTCGACGATTGGCCGAGAGCCCCATCATCATGATGACGTGCAATGGCAAACAATGTGCTTTGAACACATCGCAGCAAGCTCTTGCGAGTCGGGCTGCCTTGTGCGCCAAGCGCGTGCTCCGCGTCCGCCGACCGCCCTTTCGCTTCAAACGCTGTGCGAGATCTTGATCGCGGACTGCACACAACATGAAGCGCTAGCTGAGGGGCTGCCTCGGCAAGACGATCCACAAGTCGCCCGCGAGCGCGCCGTCCTCGGCCTCTCCTACGGCGGCGGCGTCGCGCACGTGCCCCGCGCCGACGCGACGGCGACGAAGGTGCGCCACGAGCTCGAGGCCCCAGCGTCACGCAGAGCGGCTCGACGCACGTCCACGAGAGCACGGGCGCGTGCCAGTGGGAGAAGCCCGTTGCACGCGAGGAAGCCGAGCGCTTCATAGCGCTCAGTGGACGCCTCTACGACGACGAGCTTGACGACGTCGACGACGACGACGACGAGCTCGACGACGTCGACGACGTCCCCCTCGGCGGTGCGGCGTCGTCTTAGGACCTAATTGCCCTTACTACACCGAGCGTGGCGCTCACGCCCCCGTCTTGGCGCCCGCCGCGCCGCCGCCGCCGCCCTTGGCGCCCGCGGCGACGCGGCGGCGCTCCGTGCCCGGCGGGAGCTGCGCGTTCGGGTCGGGCCGCGACGGCGCGGCGACGCCCGCGTTCTTCGCGTGGACGGCCTTGAACAAAGCCTCGTGCTTCTTGTTGATCTTCGCGGACTTGAGCGCGATGCGGAGCTTCGACGCGAGCTTGGCCGGTTGGGACGCGCCGGCGTCGTCGAGCGTCGCGCGGTCGGCGGCCGTCGAGGCGTCGGCGAACGTCGCGGCGCCCTGGGCGACGAGGCGCCCGTCGACGGACGCGGAGCCGTCGAGGCGCGCGTTCGGCACGAAGCCGAAGTCCAAGAGCAGGTCCGGCGTCGCGCGCGCGCCGTAGGACGCCACGAGCGCGTCGTCCGGAGCGATGGGCTTCAAAGCGATCAGCGCGAAGGTCGCGTCGTCGCGCGCCGCGTCGAGCACCTCGAGGCGGACGTTCGGGCTCGCGCCCCAGTTCGCCGTGTCGAGGAAGGGCACGAGCACGCGGAGCGCCTTCGTCGGCTTCGCGGCGCCCTCGGCGGACGGATGGACGGCGCCGGCGTCGCCGCCGACGTCGTCGAGCCGGAGCTCGTGGGCCCGCGAGCTCGCGAGGAACGCGCCGTAGCGCACGAGCTCCTCCGGCGTGCCCGTTTCCGCCGCGACGGCCGCGACCCGCGCCCGCCGCCGCGCGACCTCTTCCACGAGCGGCGGCCACTCGGTGCTCTCCACGTCGCTCGCGTCCCAGTGGTCCGGCGTCGCCGTGATCTCCGACGGCGCGGGCAGCGTCGCGACGTAGGGCGCGAAGAATTTATCCTCGAGGTAGCCGAACTTGTAGAAGTTCGCGCCGCACTCGGCGAGGTCCGCCTCGCCCGCGTTCGGGTCGCTCAGCGCGAGCGCGAGTTCGGAAGGCACGCGCGCGACGACCGCGTCCTTCTTGAAGGCCTTGGTCGCGACGAGGTCCGCGCCCAGGCCCGCGCGGCACTCGCTCGCGACGAGGCCCGAGAGCTCCGCGCCCTGGTTCGTCGCCCACTCGCGCAGCGCCGCGTACTTGGGCGGCTCGGGCGCGACGACGACGGCCTTCTTCTTCTTCGCCTTGGGCGCGCCGAAACCGCCGCCCTTCGCGAGCGCCTCGCCCCGCGCGACGAAGCACGCGAAGAGGAGTGTGAGAAGCCCCATCATTGCCTCAACCCACGGCACCTTCAAGGATCTTTCAAGGAGCCGATTTCATTGCACCTCATCGCCATTGGCTGCCCCTTGGAAGGCTTCCTCGGCGCGCGCCGCCGCGGGGTTGAGGGCCGCGATGGCGCTCATGCACGTCCAGGACCGCATGAGCGGGAACAACTGCGAGCGCGGGTCGCTGACGCTGAAGACGCAGCTCGAGCGCGAGAGCTTCCTGCGGCTGTCGGCGCCGCTCCTCGGCGAGGAGGAGCCGCGGGAGAGCGAGAAGGCGAGGGTGCCCGCGGCGGCCCTGCGCGCCGTCTACGGCCACTACGTCGCCCTGGGCTGGCTCAACGGCATCGCCATCAGCACGGCCTTCGCCTACTGCTACTACGAGGAGCGCGCGTCGGCGAACACGTGCACGGCGCCGCGCGGCGTCCGAACGGCTGATTTCCGGGCCTCCGACGTGACGCGCGCGCAGGCGCTGCCCGGCTTCTTCCAGCTCGCGTGGTCCTTCAAGTTCGTCATCGGCGCGGCCCAGGACGCGACGCCCGTCGGCGGGCTGCACCGCGCGCCCTACGTCCTCGCGGGCTGGGCGGGCTGCGTCGGGCTCGGCTGCGCGCTCGCGGTCTTCGCGGACCGCCTCGCGATGCTGCCGTACGCGGGCATCGTCTGCGCGCTCGAGGTCTGCATGGTCTGCGCGGACACGGCCTGCGACGCCCTCGTCGTCGGGCTCACGAAGACCGAGGCCGAGGACGTCCGCGGGCGCGACGCCGGCGTCCCGCGGCGGTGTTTCGAATCATCGTCTCTCTCGATAGGTCGACGCTCGCGAACGCGTACTCGTGCCGCTTCACGGCGGCGCTGCTGAGCTCCGCGGCCATCGCCGTGCTCTACGACGGCCCCAAGCAGGGGGGCCACATGCCGTTCGCGCTGTCGCTGCGGACGTGGTGGGCCGTCGGCGTCGCGCCCGCGGGCTGCATGCTCGTCGCCGGCGTCTTCACCCACGTCCGGGACGCGGAGCGCGCGCTGCCCGGCCGCGACGAGGCCGCGCCCTCCGTCGCCGCGGCCCTCGGCCGCTTCCGCGCGTGCCTCCGGCGGCCCGCGGCGCACCGCGTCGGCGTCGCGCTCTTCTGCATCACGTCGCTGTCCCTCGTCACGAACAGCGCGTCGAACGCCGCCGCGATCCAGTGGTTCGGCTACTCCAACCTGCAGTACGGCGTCGACAACACGATGTCCTACGTGACGCTGACCATCGTGCTCCAGCTCCTCAAGGCCTACGCGCTCCACTGCGACTGGCGCGCGCTCTTCTCGTCGGCCATCTTCGGCATGCAGGCCTTCTACGCGTCCTTCCTCATCGTCGTCTGGTGCTGCTGGGCGCGCAACGGCTGGTTCTACGTGTTCCTCAACATCGACAACCAGGTCGCGTACGACGTGACCTTCTTTTTGTCGGTCGTCATGGTGCCGGAGCTCGTCGAGCCGGGCCTCGAGGGCGTCACCTACGGCGCCTTCACGACGCTCACGAACGCGGCGCAGAACGTCGCGTCCGCCGTGTCCGTGCAGCTCCTCGGCGTCTGGCCCCTGTCGAACGCGGCGCTCGACGCGGACACGCACGAGACGCGCGCGGACGTCACGCGGCTCCAGGTCGCGTGCTGCCTCGCGGGCCTCGCGGCCATCCCCTTCACGCTGCTCCTGCCCTCGCAGAAGCACGACTGCGCGCGGCTCCGCGACGCGCCGTCGAGCCGGACCATGGCCGACGCGGTCCTCGCGCTCATCGTCCTCGGCATGCTCTACGGCGCGACCATGTCCATCCTGCCCATCGTCCCCGCGACGTCGTGCCTCAAGCTCGTCGGCGGCTCCGGCTGCGGCGCGGCCGCGGCGGCCGACGACGACGCGCCGGGCGCGGCCTACTGCGCCTAAGGGGGGGCGCTCCTTGTATCCCGATCGCGACCCTGCTTACGGCTTCATGGACGCGCGCGAGAACGCGCGCCACGCGGACTCGAGCGCGCCGCGGTCGACGGCGCAGTAGCCGAGGCCGAGGTCGACGACGACGTCGGCGACGAGGCCGCCGGCGGCGAGGGCGGCGCCGAGGCTCGCGGCGCCCCTGTAGGCGCCGTAGCGCGCGACGGCGCCGGGGCCGCGGCCCCGGAGCGCCGGCGCCGCGAGGAAGCGGCACGGCGCGTCGCGCCCGCAGAGGAAGCACGCGAAGTCCCACGCGCCGGCCCACGCGGCGACGCCGCTCGGCGGCGCGCGGCGGCGAGCGGCTGCGGCGGCGGCGGCGGCGCGGCGGCGGCGAGCGGCGGCGGCGCGGCGGCGAGCGGCTGCGGCGGCGCGGCGTCCTCCGCGAAGGTGAGGGCCGCGGCCGCGTCGCGCATGTCGACGTCGAGGCCCGGGCTCGGCGGCGCCTGGGCCGGGGCCGGCGCCGCGGCGGCGAGCGCGAGCAGCGCCGCCGGGGCCGCGGCGGCGTCGTCGTCGTCGTCGGCGGCCTTGAGGTTGCGCGCGGAGACGAGCTCGAGGACGACGCCAGAGTCGCAGCGCACGTCGTAGCGCTCGCACTCCGACGCGCCCTGGGCGTTCGCGGCGCGGCCGCGGCGCGCGACGACGGCGCCGCGCGCGCCGTTGAAGCCGCGGCGCGCGCTCTGCGCGTTGAAGCGGATGATCTGGACGCGCGCGCCGGCCGCGAGGCGGGTGCCGCGCCCGGCGGCGCCGGGCGTGGGCCGGCGCGGCGTCGCCGCGGGCCGCCGCTCCGGCGTCGCCGCCGGGGGCCGCCGCGGCGCGCGCTGCACGAGCGACGCGCCGCGCCGCGGGTCGGGCGACCGCTTCGCGACGCCGCTCGCGTCGCAGACGTAGGACGCCAGGATCTCCTCGTCGGGCCGCACGGCCCGGAGGAGCTCCCAGCGGAAGACGAGGCCGCCGGACGCGGGCCGGTGCACGCTCCAGCGCACGTTCGGCTCCTGGCGGCCGCGCGCCTCGTTGATGTAGTAGGTCAGCGCCGTGACGCCCGCGTCGCCGTCCCGCAGCAAAAAGTAGCCGTCGGCGTACTGGATGTACTCGTAGGGCGACAGGCGCCGCGGCGCGGACCCGGCGAAGTAGGCGACGGACGGGTCCGCGACGGCCTCGCCGCGCGCGAGGCCCACGGCGAAGAGCACGCCGCGGCCTCTCCGGTCGCTCTGGCGCGCGTCGCCCTCGCCCGTGACGACCGAGACGCGGCGGAAGGCCTCCCAGGCGTCGTCGCGGCCGCCGGCGTCGTCGCCGGGGAGCGCGGGCAGGCCGAGGCGCCGCCGCGCGTCCCGCGGCGCCGTCGGCGCCCACGTCGCCGGCTCGCGCTTCGCCTGCTTCGCCGGCGGCCGCTTCGCCGGCGCCGGCGCGGCGCGCTTCTTCGCCGGCGCCGGGGCGTCGCGCCGCTTCGCCGCCGCCGGCGCGTCGCGCCGCGCCTTCTTGGCCGGCGACGCGTGGCCCGCCAGGATGGGCGTGCCGTCCTGCCGCGTCCGCAGACTCTGGATGGACGTGCCGTCCTTGAGGTAGAGCACGTGGTACGGGTTGCACTTGCGGCCCGGGTGGCCCTCGAGCGCCGCGGCGACGAAGCCGCCCGGCGCCTCGTGCGTCGAGCCGTCGTACTCGATGGCGCCGGACCTATCGAGCGTTTCTGAGAAGGCGTCGGGTCGAGCGTTTCTTCGGCCGGAAAAGGCGTCGGGTCTCTCCCTCGGCGTCGGGTCTCTCTCGAAGCGCGCGAAGCGACGCGACGCCGGAATGTTGCGCCAGCAGCTTCGCCTCCACGGTGATGTGCGTCGGCCGCGACCGGTGGTGGTCCAGCACGATGGGGCCGGGCCTGAGCTTGCCCGCGGCGAGGAGCTCGGCGAGCGTCGTGTGCACTTGACTGCCGGACGCGCTCGACCGCGGGCCGCTGGCCTCGAGCTGCTGCCGCGCCGCGGACTTGGCCGGCCGCGGCGCGAGGGGCGTCGACGCGGGCGGCGCGCCGTCCGCGCTGCGCCGCACGGACGCGCTGGGGAGCCACTCGTCGAAGCGGCTATTCCACCCTTGGTAGTGCACGAGCCAACGCGGCTCCTGCTCGGAGACTTCGACGACTTTCGACGCGTACCATTCTTGGCCCCATTTGGCGTGCACGGCGTCGCCGCGCTGGTACATCGTGCGCGACTCTGCGCAGGACCCGAAGCTGGTCGCGATGAAATCGCGATCAGTCCAGCGAATGAATCGAACCCGCCTCTCACGCAATATGAGGTCAATCGGAGAGAAAGCTCGTACAAGCATCAGATTTCGAGTTCAGCCTCGCCAAACGGGTTGGTTCGGAGTCGGCGGTTCGAAGCAGGTTGGCGCAGTGGTAGCGCGGTGGGCCCATAACCCACAGGTCGCATGATCGAAACATGCACCTGCTACTTTCTTTTTTTGCTCTCGGAGGCGTCGCCTTTGTCTGCTGTTTTTTTTTTTGCGTGCTTGTACGCGCCGATCGTCGCTACGGAATCGGCTAGCGTGGGAGGCGCCAAGTCGGCGACGGCGCGCGCACGCTCCACATCCCGCCCGGGACTCCGCTATTGAGAGTGCCGTTAGCGGTCGGCGGCGCGCCCCGGGGCGAGAGAGAGGGACACGGGGAAGACGGGCGGCGCGCGCCGCGATACTTGGTGACGCGCCTCAGAGGTCGTCGTCGTCCTCCGGGAGCGGGATGTTCGCGGCTTCCCTGAGCTCCTGCTCGTAGCGCTGGGCGTCGACGGGGTCGATGTTGAACTCGGGCGGCGCGAGGGCCGGCGCCTCGACGAAGTGGAGGTTGTTGTCGCCGCAGAGCTTGCGCGCGAGCCAGAGGAACGGCTTCTCGAAGTTGTAGTTCGACTTCGCGGAGATGTCGTAGTACTGGAGGTTCTTCTTGCGGTGGAAGGTGATCTGCTTCGCCTTGACCTTGCGGTCCTTGATCTCGACCTTGTTGCCCGTGAGGACGATGGGGATGTTCTCGCAGACGCGCGTCAGGTCGCGGTGCCAGTTGGGCACGTTTTTGTACGTAATGCGGCTCGTGACGTCGAACATGATGATGGCGCACTGGCCCTGGATGTAGTAGCCGTCGCGGAGGCCGCCGAAGCGCTCCTGGCCCGCCGTGTCCCAGACGTTGAACTTGATGGGCCCGCGGTTCGTGTGGAAGACGAGCGGGTGGACCTCGACGCCGAGCGTCGCGACGTACTTCTTCTCGAACTCGCCCGTGAGGTGGCGCTTGACGAAGGTCGTCTTCCCGACGCCGCCGTCGCCGACGAGGATGAGCTTGAACTCGGGCATCTCCATCTGCGGGGGCGCGCGCGCGTCGAAGGCGCGGCCGCGAAGAGCGGCGGTCGCGACGCGGCGGCGGCGCCTCGGCGAAGGGGACGGCGCGTCGACGCGAGCCTGCGCGCGCGCGTTTCGAGTGATGTTTCGCGCGCGCCGCGACCCCCGGCGCAGCGCGGCCATGGCGGCGGCGGCCGGGGGGCGACCAACCGACGGCGCGGCCGCATCGCCGACGGAGATCGCCGCCGGGCCGGGCCCCGCGGGCCGCGCGCCGCCGGCCCCGCCGCCCCGCCCGCGCGCCGCCCTCTCGCCGCGCCCCTGAAACGACGTCTTCGCGGCGCCGGCGGTGCACGAGGCGCTTGGCACTGGACGAGGCCCTTTGTCGCCGCTCAAACGCGCGAGCTGCTGGGCGCGGAGGCGATGCATCCGCGAGAAATGTTTCGCGTGCAGCCCCGTCCCCGACGCCGGCGTCGTCGAGCAGCCCGACCAAGATGATCTACGACACCAAGTAAGCCGCCCGCTCGCTCGCATCGTTCACACGCGCCCCACGCGCGCAGGTCTTCGTATTTCAGCAGTTTCCTGTCGTCGAACAAGCACAAGCCCTCCAGCGAGGAGGTCATCGAGGCGCTCAACGACATCCGCATGAAGGTGCGCCGGCGGATCCACCCCCCCTCGCCCGACGACGCCGCCGCAGGTCCCCGGCCAGAGCCCGGAGCAGATGGCCGCGACGCTGAGACTCAAGCGCGCCGCCGGCGTCCCGGCCGCGCGCGCGGCCGCGGCGACGCGCGCGCGGCGCAGGTACCCGAACTGGCTGCTCGAGGACCTCAACTGGGCCGAGCTGTCGGACAAGGTGCCCGAGGTCATGGCCCAGTAGGCGCGTGCGCTAGGTCTTAGCGGCCGACGAGGGCGAAGGGGGACACGTGGAACTGGCGCTTCATACGCGCGGTCCGCGTCAATTTCCGCTGGCGGAACAGGTGCGTCGCGGCGCCCGCCGTCGCGGGCGACGCCCAGGCGTCGAGCATCTTCGAGTCGCAGTGGGCCTCGTACCAGCGCATCATCTCCGTCTTGTAGTCGCGCGCGTAGACCCAGCCGTCGACGTCGCCGGGGCCGTCGTGGTCGATCCACCGCGGCCTGCGGCGGCGGCGTTCCGGACGCGTCGGACGCGCGGGGACGCCGGGGTCGGGACGAGAACTCCGTCGCGTCCGGGTCGTCGTACTCGTAGCCCGGCCCGAGGAACGCGATGGCGTGGTCGAAGGCCTCCAGCACTTCGCCCGCGTCGAAGCCCCGCCGGAACTCGCGCTCCTGCGCCTGGGCGGGAACGGGGTTGCTTCGACGTGAGCGTTCTGCGCGCGCGCGCTCCAAAGAAAGCATCCAGGCTTCGAGAGCGCTCGTCCAAGAATCAGCCGAAACGAGTGGAAATCGGCCGAGAGAGGCGCCTTTGAAGTTGGGCGCCCGTTTCCCGCCCCGTCCCGCGCGTAGGCCGCGGGGTCGCCCATGGCCCGGGGCATGAGGTTCGCCGCGTCGTAGGCGCCAAAGGGCGTGAGCCGCCGCTGGTTCTCGTAGAGCGAGATCTCGATGGGGAACATGCGGAGCTTCGCCTTGGGCCTCGCGACGCGCGAAAAGTCGCGGAACCGCGGCGGCGGCTCGCCGAAGCACGCGGCGAGCGCCGGCGCGTACGCGTCCTTGAGGCCGTGGTCGCCGATGGTCAGATTTGTCAGCCCCCGGAAGAGCGCCGCCGCGGCCGCGCCGCCCTCGTAGAACGTCGGCGCGCCGCCGACGACGTGCACGAAATTGCCGAACGGGTGGTAGTCGCCCGCGACGAGCGCCCGCCGCGCGATCTGGAGCGCGAAGGCCTTCGACGACGCGACGCCGTCGGCGACGGCCCGGCCCACGGACGACCCGTCGCCACCGTCGTCCGCGGCCTCCGCCGGCGCGCGGGAGAACCGCTTCGCGACCTGCGCGGGCGAGCGCGACCGGCGTCAAAGACGCGTATCACTCGCCGCGGAACGCGGGGCGCGACGGTGCCCGCGAGCCACGCGAGGCGGCCCGGCTCCTCCGGCGCCGGCGCGCCGTCCGGCTCCGGGGCCTCGGACCGCGAGAAGCGGTGCTTGACCTGCGGACCCGGCGTCGACGCGGGCGAGGCGAGCGGCGCCGGCGCGCGACGGCGTCGCTGAGCGTCGCCCAGCGGCCCTTCTCCGGCGGCGCCGCGGCGCCGTCGTCGGCGCCGCCGGACGGCGCGCGGTCGCGGGTCGTCGCCGGCGCGGCCGCGTCGACGCGGAGCAGGAGCCGCGGCACGGGGTCGTCGCCGTGGACGACGTGGAGGAACAGGTCCCGCCAGGGCTCCGCGACCTCGACGCGCTCGAAGACGGACCGGGCCGTCGGCGGGCCGTTCGTGCCCACGGGCGCGCCGAACGTCACGCACCTCGCCTTGGCCGCGACGTCGGCCGCGTCGAGGCGCGGCACGCCGCTCACGAGGCACCGGAGCAGGACGAGCGACGCGACGGCGCCGCCGAGCGAGTGGCCCGCGAAGACGACGTTCTCGTAGCGCTTGAACAAATTCGCGAGCGGGTCGCAGTTCACGTTCGCCGCGCGCTCGGCGAAGCCCGCGTGGACGCGGCCCTGGGCGTAGACGGGCTCGAAGTCGGCCTGGTGCGCCTTCAAATTCGTGTACGTGTCCTCCCGGTCCGCCGTGCCCCGAAAGGCGACGAACGCGACGGACCGCGGGGGTCGCGTCTCCGCGTGGCGCGGCCGCGCCAATTCGAAGATGCAGTAGGCCCCCGAGCTCGCCGCGCCCTCCTGCTCCAGGGCCGCGTGCCGCGGCAGGACCTACCGAATTACGTCGGGAACGATGGTTCGTCGTTTCCCCGGCCGACATCTCTCGAAACTCGTCGCAACCGCGGGACGCTGGGCGGGACCTTGTCCACGAAATCTAGACCCTCGGCGTAGGGCCCGAGGCTTTCGTCGGACAGCGCGTCGGTCATGTTCGCGTCGCTGTACGCCAAACGCGACGCGACGAGCGCGCCCATGACGAGCTCCTCGTGGACGGCGCCGAAGGCGCCGCCCTCGCGCGCCGCCTCCTCCCGGACGGGGTAGTCAAAAGGATTCTCCGCCTCGCCACAATCGTCGTCGTCGTCGTCGTCGTCGAGGTCCGCCGGCGCGCCGGCGCCGGGCGGCTCGTCGTCGCGCTGGCAGACGCAGAAGAGGAAGCCGAGGTCCGAGCTCTCCGTCGACGGCGGCGCGCCGTTCTCGCCGCCGACCTCGACGGTCTCGAGGGGCCGCGGCGCCTTGCTCATGGCGGAGATCGACGAGACCGGGCTGCCATACGATCTCCACCTTCGGGGTTAACCTTGAGGGTGATATCCACGGGCGTCGCAGTCGACGCGCTAAGCTATGGGCGCCTGAAAACCCCGAAGAGCGGGCAGCCCCCCATCATGTCCGGGGAACCCGGCGCCATGGTGGGCTACCTGCGGGGCGACGAGCTCCAGCTCATGTTCCCGTCGCTGGGCAAGGCCAACGCGACCCGGCGGCGCGCCGACGTCGTCCACAAGCGCGAGCAGCTCGCGCGGCGGGCGTCGAAGAAGTCCATGCCGCCGCGGCAGCGGCACAAGACGCTCGAGCGCCTCGAGACGCGCCTCGTCACCGCGGCGCGGACCCTCGGCGAGGCGAAGCGCGTCGAGAACAGCGTCCTCGCGGCCGTCGAGGCCGAGCGCGACAAGGTCGCGAGGGCCAAGGAGCGGGAGTCGAAGCCCGCGCCGCTCCAGAAGAACATCGCCGCGGCCGAGCGGCGGCAGCGCGAGCACGTCGAGCGCGAGCTCGCGGAGATCGCCGCGGCCATGCGCGCGGACCCGGCGCGCGCGCGCGAGCTCGACGGCGCGACGCGCGCGACCGTCGCCTTCAGCGCGCAGGACGAGCGCCTCGTCGAGGCGCTCGGCGCGCGCCTCGCGCGGCGCGGCGGCCTGCCCGGCGCGCCGGACGAGCGCCTCGACGGCGCCGCGGCCCTCGAGGGCCTGCGGCTGAGCGGCGACTGCGACGCGGCAGAGGCGAAGGCGATCCTCGCGGCGTCGCGGGACCTCGGCCGCGCGCGCCGCATGCTCGTCGCCCTCTGGCGGCGCAAGGCCTGGGCGCGGTCCCTGCCGCGGCGGCCCCTCGCCGACGCCGACGTCTTCGCGCGGAGCCTCGGCCGGTCGCCCGCGGCGGCGCCGCCGGACCGCGGCGTCGACGCGCCGACGCCGACGCGCGGCGCGCTCGCGCGGACCGCGTCCTGGCGGCCCGGCACGGCGTCGAGCGCCGGCACGCCCCAGCGGCTCTTCTCGTCGACGGCGCCGCTCCCCGCGGGCGACGGCCGCGCGGATTTGTTACGCGCGGAGCTCGGGCGGAGCGACCGGTTCCTGACGCAGACGGACGAGCTCGTGCGCCGCGACATGGAGCGGACCCTGGCCATGTCCGCGCGGGCGACGACGGCGCCCGGCGGGCGGCGGTCCACGTCGGCCTTCGCGACGCCCCTCGCGTCGCCCGTCGCGAAGCGCGCGGCGATTCGCGCGCCCGGGACGCCCGGGTCCCGGCCGGGCACCGCGCTGTCGGCGACGGCGTCGTCCGACGACTTCCGGCCCTACAGCACCTGCCGCCTCGACGAGGGCGACTGGACGTCGTCGGCGCTGAGCCGGCGCTGCGGCGCGTGGGCCGCGACGAAGATCGCGCGCGTGACCGCGCGCCTCGAGTGGCGCGCGCGCATGCGCGCGCTCGGCCAGCTCGCGCGGCACGCGCAGTACGAGCGCCACCTCGAGGACTGCGTGCGCTTCGTCAAGCTCGCCGCCGGGCGGCGCCTCTGCCGCTGCGCGGCCGCCGTCGCGTCCAGGGCAGGAAAAGAGAGCGAAATTCCCAACTTCAAAGGCTCCTATATCGGCCGTTTTCCACTCGTTTCGGCTAATTTTTGGACGAGCGATCATCTCTCGGAACAGCCTCGAAGCGTGGATGCTTTTTCCGGAACGCGCGCGCGCGGAACACTCATGTTGAAGCGACGT